ATAAAGTTTTTGTATCTTTCTTATTTGGTATATGTTTAAATGACATTATTATTTTTACAAATTAGGCAGCCGGCGGTGGATCAACTACAGGAACTTCGAGTTACGAAGTAAAGCAATTGGAACAACAAAATAATAGGTTGCGTGAAACGCTTGTGAAAATGCGCGATTTATCGGCACACGAGAAACACGAATTTCAAAAATTGCAAAAGGATATGGATCAGAAAAAATCTGAGATCTTGGAATTAGGTCGCACGAAAGAGAAGTTGTCAGCGCGGGTCGAAGAAATGGAACATCAGATAGCAGATCTACAGGAACAAGTACATATTATTTGTATGATTTGTAATAACATTAATTTGTATACATTTATATACTTAAACATTTTTTTTAGGTTGATGCTGCATTAGGAGCCGAAGAAATGGTCGAAGTGTTAGGCGAGAGGAAAATGGCGTTGGAGGAAAAAGTGGCTGAACTGGAAGAGGCTGTTGCAGATTTGGAGGCTCTACAGGTACGTAGTCCCTATACTTTACATTGCAAGAAATGTATATAATCTATAATGTATAATCAATAATATACTACAAATCTATTCAGGATATGTCGGATCAATTGGCCGAATCGTCTAAAGAATTAGAGCTAGAACTTCGCGAGGAATTGGATCTTGCACTTGGAGCAGCGCGCGATGCCCAACGACATCGGGACGCCGCGCTGGAGACGTTGGCGGATCGTGAATTAACCATTACGAAGTTCCGTGAACTTACGCATCAGTTGCAGGAACAATGTTTGCAGTTGCAGCAACGAGTTCAGTCGACGGAATCTACCAAGACTAACGTTCGAGGTAAAATAGAAAATATAGGCTAGAAATATATAAAATTTTATTGATTAAGTTATATTTTTATGAGTTCTTATATCATTTACGGTTTAGGTGCGGACCAACAACTCGCGGAAATATTAGACTTCCAGAAGACGTTCGCTGAGACCCGAGCGCAAACCAAAGCGGTCGATCTTGAATTGCGTCGCTTAGACGCCGAGGAGGCGCGAAACCATGTGTGCTATTTGCTGTCCTTCATGCCTCCTGCATTTTTGATTCGCGGTGGAGATCATGACGCGATATTGACGCTCTTATTAATACCGAGGATGACACAAAAAACGGAGATATTGATTTCGCAAGTTCGAGAAAAGTACAGATCGATTGAAAAGATAGACAGGTACTACTAATCTTATTTTCGCGCAAGCTGTATTTAGAACAGTGCTGGGATTTAGTTGCACATTTTGGCCGATTTTCAGCTTGGTTCCTGATCGGCATTTAGGCTGAGCGCGGATTGATGAAGAAAGGGGCAGAAATCAAGCTGAAAATCGGCCGAAATGTGCAACTAAATTCCAGCACTGATTTAGAATATTTGTACAATATTTTTTTTATTACAGAACTTCTATAGTGAGAGGTCATTCGGTAGCGCAATATTCGTTCAGGTCTCGTTTGTGCTCGCATATGTATGCTTTACAAACCACCTTGGGTTGCTTTGAGTCAGCTTTAAACTCGTGCAATTCGGAAATGTTACTTAAAGCGGGAGCGGCTTATCCGGAAATGGCGGCGCAGGAAAAATCCTTGGACTCACTGATAGAGCTGGCTAAGAGAGATCAGTTGGACGAGAATTTGCCGATGGACGCAATCGAGAAATGTTGCGGATACTTCGCCACAATGTTCTCCGTGCTCTTCGGCGAAAGTATAGCTGTCAATCAGTCACGCTTAATCGTGAATGGTACGAGAACTTTGGGCAATACATGCGATGCCATAGCTACTGATGCTGCGGCAATCAAAGTATTGATACAAGGAGAGGGTGCTGATATAGGTACGTAATATTTGGTTAATTAAAATTGACTTATGTTGTAAATATTACTATAGCGCACATTCTTCATATTTAAGGTAAACTTTGTCAGCATGTTGAAACGACATGCGAGGTGATTCAGCAGCATTTGAAATCGGCTAGGAGACGAGTACCACGTGATCACGCTGGTCCAGCATTTTCCGTAGGCGCCAATTTAGGATTAGATAAAGATTGCAACGAACAATTTTCTACATGTTATCAACACGGTGTGAAGATTACGAAGACACTTCAGTATCTATTGAAGAGTGCCTTGCATGCTATTACCGAAAATGGTGGTAGGTTTTTTTTTTACATAGACTTTCTCGGAAAATCTATTTTTGTAATATTTTTAGAAGTGAATTCAATTTTTTATAAATTCTTCAGATTTAGACACGGGATTACCGGCCGATAAATTGAAGGAAATGGCTGCAACATCCAGCGAAAGAGTATACGATACAGAAGATTTGGGTCCTGTAGCTACTATCAAGGCTAGTTTAACGGTTATACAGCAACTAGCGGCAAATCTGGCGCAGAAAATGGCCGAGTGTGAAAACGAATTAGCTATAAGTGGACAAACACAAAGTCAGCAGCAATCTAAGGAGAGCGAGCAAATAACGCCAATTGTGGCTAGAGCGAATTCTGTTAGGAAGGAGTCAGAAGAAACGAAAATACTCAGCAGGTACGTACATTTCCATTGGCTTTATATAATTACCATTTCAAGATTTTTTGAGATAATTTTTTAACATTTTCAAATTAGGAAACTCGAAGCAAGGGACAGTGATATACGCGAGGCGAGATTAGCTTTACGAGAGAAGCAAGAAGAATTATCTGAAATGACACTGCGGAAGGAGTTGGCTGAGAAGCGTTTTGCGACGCAACAGCATGAACACGAAATGAATGTCGAGAAGTTGAAGAGAAAATTAGAAGAGGCGCAAAATCAATTAAAACGCAAGGTATCTCTTTTCCTACTATCATGTATCGCAACCTTATATTTCTTTATCGATTTCTTCATATTTTTATTTGATAGGAAAAAGAATTCGAAGAAACAATGGACCACCTTCAAACCGATATCGACAGCTTAGAAACAGAGAAGGGACAATTGAAGGAAAAACTGAAGTCGATTGGCAAGAAAACGATATCAGTATCTGGTACAGACAGCATGATGGGAAGCACTTCGATAACGAGTACTTTGGACAATAAATATTATGTACAGGAGATAAACGCTCTCAAGCAAGCTTTGAATAATGAGCACCAGCAAAAGAAGAAGATAATGTGCGCTGTTTTGCGTCAAAAGTTAGATAGTTTGGAACCGTTGCCATCGCCGACGAATCTTAAATCTCTGGATACAAAAATTCAAGAATTGCGAAAAAAGACTACTGATCTCGTTAAGGTAATTAATTATAGTTTGATAATCATTGTTGATTATTATTACACCCAAATATTCTCCTATATATACATATGAATACATTTATTCACATTTAAGGATGTGGAAAAGACTTTGGTATATCCAACAGTTCCCGATTTAAGGCGCAAAGTGCCCGAAATATCTTATCATTATTTATTGGAACGTCAAAGGAACATTATGCAATTGAAAGAACGAGTTGACGAGCTAGTGGTAAGTGCAGATAAAGAATAAATAAATAACAGTGCAAAAATTAAAAAAAATGCAATGTAAATTACTGAAAGTACAAAATATATTTGTCAGGCTCAAGTACGTCGCGAGGCTATCAAACGTACACCGGGAGGAAGAG